TTCAACTTTTAATCTGTTCCTTCCAAATATTTTGTGATGGTGCTTTTTCACGATAAAATATCTTAAAGCCAGCCACTTCAACCGATATCAATCACTGACAAGACTCCAAGATTTTCTTGATTCACGTCAAAAAAGTTTCACTGATTCACGTTGGAAAAGTTTTATTGGAGTTTATGATAATCTTCGAACAAAATTAGGGAAGAACACATAAATTTTTGAGCAAACTCCTTCACATTTTTTTAACCCCGAGAACTCAGTGAAGTGGCTTTCACTTGGACTTCTAAAACATTTTAACAGTAGTCGTTGGGAATCAAAGTTTCCAGTTTACTAGTTATATGTTATGAGTCACACCGGCGATAAAATTCCATCAATTAAAAGCTTATGAAATGCCTATCACTCTGCTTCAGAAATATGAACATTATAAGATAAACCAGCACATGTTAGAATGATATCTACCAATGGCCATGTCACGATAAAACTTATTTCCTTAATTAACAATTTAAGCTTAAGTATTGACTTTCTAATATGTTGTAGGTTTCATAAGTGGGTAACATCAATTCATACAGCGCCAGAGTACCGCATTGTTCAAGAAAAAAATTTGCTACCTCAGCCTCACAAGTTCATTTATGTCAAACTTAATACCATGCACTCTTTTGAGCTCATAAGCCTCATCACTTGCCAGCATTCCTTGGAAATGATGTACTTATATTTTTATGGTTGGTATACGTAGATTTGATAACGCACAAGTATTCAGAGTATGACCTTTGATTACCATATGCATATCTAGCATGAGGATGAAATATTTTAAATTTTTCCTTTGTCGTGATCACTATATCAGTAAACAAATCCTGATTTCAAAATGAATGGCTGTATAAGTCTCTGAAAGCAGTGGATCAAAAGCACTATTCATGGACATGCAATACTGATATCCTTCAATGATGGCATCATCTTGGACTTCACCAGTGCAGCTTTCACTGTAATTTAGCAAATTAATTTCTCTAGCATTATAGTAATCTTTGATATTAATTTTGTTAGCATTGAAATTCAACTACCTTTTTGGTTGATATAATTCATTTTTCCATATTCATGGCTTGTAACAAATCATTAGAAGTATATATACTAAGACTTTTGGCGGGAAAATCTAGACCAGTTTGCACAGAGTTTCCCCTGGCAACTTTCTCGGCAAAAAATTTAACGAGGCTTCCTTTAAAAATTCCCGCCAAACAATAATTCAACAGCATCTCGTGCAAAAAGAATTGAAGAGTAATCTCCAATTTCTCTTTTGCTCTTCAAAAAAAGTATCAAAACAGTCTGAAATGTTTCGTTTCTTTGAGGAGAAATTCCGACGCGACATGTTTATCCTTACACCTTTTTTTCAAGACTTCAATTCTTTTGATACTGTAATTTGCCAAAGAGCACAAGCTCATAGAGACACATAGTTGTCCAACATTTGCACGGAATCTCGTTAAATCAGCATAACCCTTTGACCCTTGAGAATGACTAATGAGAATGACTTGCGTCTAATTTCTCCTTACATATCACCCCTGAATCAAACATTAAGGTCACGAGAATAAAGGAAATGATCACCAACTAGAGAACCTCTCGATTGTTAAACAAATTCTCCATGTCAGCACCTCAGGAAATGTAAAGAGACCATTATTGAGAATATGCATACTGATGTTAGGGTGCAAAGAATAAACTATATGGCGCCTTTAACTACCTTTTTGGAAGATAGACGAATTAATTTTTAGATTAATTTTAGACTTGAGCGTTGCCACAACCCAGAAAAAAGTACTGCATCGGTTGATGAAAAACTCTAAAAGCAATTTGGCGGACAAATACCAACTTTTGGGTGTACTGTTCGATTTGGTTGTAGCCTAGCTAGGCTCGATTATTTTGAATAAATCTGGTTAGAATGAAATTATAAATCACTTGCTGATAAACCTCAGAGGCAAATTGAGGAACAAACATAAATTCATGGAATTTTAGAGCCCTAAGAACTCAAACGTTTTTAATATTAAGTCTAAGATTTTTATTGAGATCATGTCAAAAAAAAGAAGATCTATATCATTTGATGATAAACTCATAAAGCAGTTTGAGGAAAAGAATCAACTTTGGAGCATACTATTATTATTTGTTTAGGACAGTGTTAATTCTTAGGCTCGAAGATCTTTGTTAAATCACGTCGAAAAAGTCATACATAATTTGGTGAAAAACGCAGGAAGAGCTTTGACATGAAAATATCTTTTGGAGTACACTTTTATTTTGTTCATGACTCAATGGTATGCCTCAAGAGCCGAGACATTCAGGTTTCAGGTTGACCGAAATTTATCATCAAATTAACGCCTTTTTAAACATCTTATGACCATCGTATTATCATATTATGCAAAAGCAACAGAATTCCTTGCAAAATAAAGCCTCACTTAATCTTTTTGAAATAAAAGCATCCCGAAAAGGAATTGAAGTCTTCTAATCGTGGCCTAGGCAGTATTACGTTATTTTGGAGGTTATAAAAGTGGTAATCCTTGTGTGAAGCCAGGCTAGATTCACACAATCATTTTCATGCGAGCAGGAATTTAAATGCAATATTCGGTAAATTCAAGGTCTTGAATGAGCCCTTGGGCAGATGCGAATCATGCCAGACTAAAGGCTTATACCTCGTAAAATGTCTGCACTTTGCTAGTGAGTAATATCTTTAAAAAGATCTGGGGAAAGTTGGATGATCGATATCATTTTTACAATTATTCTCTAATCTTTGAACTTGAAGATACTTTGAAAGCCTTGAGGGTGGCTATAGTAACTTGGTACATGTAGGTCAGATGGATAGTCAAAACATCCAAAATAATGACAAAGTATTTCTTTGACGCTTGTGAAACAGATAAAAAGTATTTATGATGGAATTAACTCGTCGAACGAACATTGGTAAAAAAAAATTAAAAGCCACCTCAATCAGAAATAAATCCAAGAAATCAGACCGTAAAGAAATTTACTAATTCCTGAGTTACAGTTTTTTTTTTCATAATTTGCTAAGTTAGTTTCGAATTAGAAACATTCGCTAAATCCAGGTTAAATCTTTCAACGCAGATGAATAGGCCTAGATAACTAATTTGTTTTTTTGAAAAAAAAAATTATTTTACCTTTTTGAAGTTTTCATGTATTTCTTTCAGTTCCTTCCTTGACTTTCTTGATTTCGAGGTGTCCTCATTTTCCTCTTGATACTTTCCTATGGAGAAAAAGAGACAAATACATTGTGAATACGAACATAACTAAGCAACAAATGTTTACGTCCAGAGTGACTTCGGTATGAAAGATGGGAACCAATCCTCTGGTAACCAGAAACTGAAGTCTACGTCATAACGTTTTCGCAATTACCTGTCGGGTTTGTAGAGTAAGGGAAGGAACAAGCGCGTTTTAAACACATTTTAAGTCAACACACTATAATCATAAAATTTAGTTGAAAATGTGCACAGGAATGAAAAGAGAAATAAGTAAATAACCGATCGGTACACTAACAATAATCTAAAAAAGTAGGAATTTCTCTCGTCGCCTCTACTAATCAGATTTATAAAGAACTGTCATGGCGGCTGCTGCTCAGGATTTTTCCTACTCTGTGCTATGCGCATTACGCTCTGCCTTCTAACATTTTACTCTGTAAATTTTGCAAAGGCCACAACGAGAAAGACGAACAGTGCATTGTTATCCAAATTCATCTGTCTATAGGTTATTTACCTGAAGAAAAGTCGTGACGAAGTGAAGAGCATGAATCCTCGACATGCATTGGTATCTGAACCACGTTGATCCACCATAAGAAACACTCGCCGAACTGAACAGAACAGGCAATATCTAAGGTAATAAGGTCAAAATGACGAGTTTCTTGACTCCACGTAGAAGCTAAAAAAGACACTCAAATTTCTTGTAGTTCGTGGGTTCTTTCCACGTGCAAGACTAAGCGTAAATATGAATACTAATTTTGAAAATTATTTGTAATTCAAATTAGTTTCCTCACATCAAAAAGCGGGTTCAAAATAATCGATTCCAAGTTCTTCGGTCTTCGAGGTAGGATGCCTCGCTTTAACCAGATTTTCAACTGAAGGAAGTTCACTCGAGAGCAGCAAACAGAGTTATAATTTAGAAATATCAACTCGAATTTAAATTAACTTGAACTTAAAAGACTTAGCTTGAACAGCACTTTTTGGTCATTACAGAAGCACACAACCCTAGGTTATCAGCTTTTGGTCATCTATAAGTTAACCAAGATTCCCTGATAAAACATTCGGTTTCTCTTTTTCATGGGCATTTCGATTTGACAAGCTATGGTGCTGCTGTTTTTCAATCCACACCAGTGTCGGCGAAACGCGTTACAGACGAGGCAGCTGTTTGACTGGATAAAGGCACGAATATTATTATAATACATATATACGCTCAGAAATGCAATATGTCCACGCCTCTCCAGTTGTTCAAAGAGGTACACAAGAGGTACGCAAGTGAACATTAGCTGGTGGAAAAACATGGGAAGGCACTAAGGTTGTTGCCCCCCCCCCCCCCCCCGCGCGCGCGCGCGCGTTCCCCCTACATCACGCTCAAACATTTCTAGCAAAAGTTAAAACTAAATCCAAATTGAAAATATCAATTGCAGAGTTTTACGTTTTGTCACAATTCTAGGTTTATCGCTGTTCTTTAAACATTGTCATCCTTCCTCTGATGTTTCTTATTTTTGGGAGTTATTTAAAAAACCTATCGGTACAGATGAAGCTAATACGCTTGAACTTTTGTAGGAACATTCTCTAATTGTTAACCGAGAAAAGACCACTATTCTGCCGACAGATAACTGACCATTTTTAAGGGAGGGGGTGGGGAATTCTCTACATGGACGTCTTTTTCCCTTTCTACCCCTCCCCTACCCCTTCATTTCTCCGACCTTCTTAAGAAACTTTGACTAAAATAACAACACTAAAAGCAAAACCAGAACCAAAAATTTCTTTCAAGAGTCTATTTGGCAGTATAAAATATTCTATACATTGTACTAAACTGTAACTATATTTGGCATAGCTATAAAAATAAATATGTACACAGTTCAATACCTGACAGTTCAGCGGCAGTCTTAAGAATACCATTGTGATATTAACAACATTTGATTTGTATGAAGTAATTTGAACTTAGACTGTATATGGTACAATTTCCACAGCATATTTGTACGGTGAAAGTTTCGTATTTCGAAGCGGTAGAATTAAGGTTTTTCTGACGAGTGTCTGTATCAAAAGTAACCTTTAGTCAGATTAATTGACTTAAAATCTTACAAACCATGAATTCACTGCTTATTTTGCAGATTCATTGACATTTTTTCTCAAATCAAGTAATATCTAGCGACTAGTAGGTTCTGAGGTTAAGAATATTTCCTTGTCTCGATCTCTGTTCATTTAAAGTATGACTTGCATGGTGTTGCGGGCCACTTTGACCCAAGCCCTTCGCTTCCGCTTCAAATTGTAAGTTTCACGAGACAATTTATTGAGATATAGCTGCTTAAAGAATAGTGCATCAGAAGTGATTTACACTGCACACCTACGAGAAAGAAAGTCTGAAGCAATGTACAGGTATTTATAGCGATAAAGCATGTGCCGAAGCCAGCGAGATCAAATGGCATTGTATGTACAGGGAGTAGAATCTAAAAAGGAAGTTCTCTTTTTGCAGGAGCGGAGCTGGAGCTGAACATTTCTAAGGCAAGAACCTTCCTGGTTCTCTATGTAAAGGTCACCAAAGGTCTACATCGTCCACATATTCGTCATCTTCTATATCTCTGAAATCAGGATCTTCTATTGCGTCTTTTCGAACAATTTTATATTCATCTTTTGTGTTGTGTCTCGCTGCTTTAGCCTCCATTTCCTCTCGTAACTTTTTCTTCAATAAAGTTTCCTTCTCTTTGTTTGCCTTTTCTTCAAGTTTCCAGGGTAAAGGCCTCCGTCCCTTGTTCAGCACAACAAAAGGTCTCTTTTCTACTCCACAAAGTCCATGTCTGATTTTGATAAATCCACTATCTCCCCAGTTATGGGACCAAGAGTTTTTAATGAGCCAATAAGGAACCCCGTTTTCGGTGCCATACCCGACCAATAACACGGCATGATCGGTTTTATTATCTAAAAGAAAAGATAAACACGCACAATTTAACTCTTTACACTCTAACATCAGTATCCATATTCTCCATACCATTTTCTTAAATTTTCTTTGGTACTGACAAGGAGATTTGCTTAAATGTTTGTTTTCAATGAATGATTCAGTGGTATTACAGTAAGGGGGAATTAGATGTTTGATCGCTCTTGCGGTTTAAAGGGTAATTTCAACAATCGGGTAATAAGTAGATATTTTTTATAAAATTTCCCAGGTGTTATCGCAAAATACTCTTTTAGCCTTGGTTCATTTTAGGAAGGACGAGAAAAACGAGTGGCTGAGAAGAAAGCGCAAGTCGCACAACTCCCGTAATTGAATGGGAGGTCAGTAGCAAAATTTCTGCAATGACTGAGCCTTAGGTTTATCTATGACAAAAGTAATATAAATGTGTCATCAATTAATACAGAAACGTGCCAAAAATGTTATTCCTAAAAATCTCAGCACAGTTTCAGTGGGTTACAAAGCTGTAAGTCTGGCACAAAGTGTCAACAGAGTTCGAGTCTTTCTCGTTCCAGAAAGACTCGATAAATTTTCAAAAAGCGAGGAAAATTTATAGGAAAGGAATGTGTACTTACTACATGTGATATCGTCTAAGACGCCATGACTGTAGAATTTTAAAGCTTTAGGATTTGCATTGATAGAAATGGTGGCAGGGCCATGGTAAGCCAATGCTTTCTTAAGCGCTTCCTCGTTGTAGCGTTTGACTCTTCTATAACTGTGAATTCTAGCTCCAATTTTCAGTCCCTTGGTTTTACAATACCCTTCCTAAACAAATGAAAGGTAAACAATTGACGTATATAAGGAAACTGAAGTATCTATGTGCGATTTCTCCCCGAGAGAAAGACATGATTTGAGTGGTAATGGTTTTTTCCTTTTGATCCTAAACTTTGTCGTCATTTGGAGGTTAAAAAGAAGAGTTTGTTCATAACATCGCTGCAGTTGGTTACAGGAGCTTATAAAGGGATGCTGCTCTCAGGCTATCACAGAATATCCTCACCCCTTCCCCCAGCCATTTCTACTCCTGTGCTGAGGACGCAATGTGGAGTGGGATGTTTTCCCTTAGAACTCGACGCTGAAAGCAATTGCTACCTTACAAAGAGAGCATACTGAAGCGGGCAAGGAGAAAAGAAGCAATGATAAACCAAAGGAAAACGATTGGCGAGAGAGAAATATATTTCATTCATTGATTGCAGCACTTCATCTGATTGAAAATCTTTCAGCAATTTTTTTTATTATAAACAGAGGGTAATGTAGTTTCTTTTCATTCAAAGCTTAGAATATGTAATTGGAACTTAGAGTTTATCATTCCAACGCTGAAAATTTACAATCAAAACCATAGCTTCTACCCCGCCCTTAGAGTAGCGGGCCGAACTAACCTGTCCCCGGTAATGTCCGTAACTTTTAGCTGTAGCAATACCAAACTTCTTGATCCAAGAAAACGCCTTCCAAGTCCAGCCTCCAAGACAACCGTTGTTGCCATGCGTGGCACCAGGTGTGGCCCATGTGCAGTCCAGGAGTTGCTGCTCTGACAAATCAACCAATTTACCAGTCTACCAAGCAATGAAGAAGAATTTGAGTAACAAGATCAACTTAAGGTGAAATTCGATTTCCAAATATGTTTGACAGTGGAAATGCAAAGGTAAAAAAGATATTGTTACGCTGGGTATGAAGACAAAAGGAAATTAAAATTTTGATTTTTAAGAAGGCGATGTTTGGAGTGTTGCTCATTGCTTTTATCATGAGCCGAATTTCAGCTTTGTTTTACAGTCCAATAGCTGTTTTCATCTAGAGGAGTATCTTCTCCAGGAACAGTGTCGATAATTCTCAATAATAATTCTTAACTAAGAACACCGCACCTGAATGAAATTGGCACCTTCCACTGCACCAGCTGCAGCAAAAGCCCAACAGGAGCCACATGTTCCTTGGCCTTTTGGAGGAAGAACAGCGCCTGACAGAAAATAGAACAGTTCTATAAAGTAAGATCAAGTGTCGAAATGTGCTCAAACCATCCAATTTCAAACAACTAAGAAGAATATCAGGAAGAGGGTACGTACATTTATGGCAAGGATAGCCGATATATGGACGCGAGTCAATCTGATTGGCTTACTCCTGAATAAGTTGATATAACTACTTTACCGTGTTGACAACACTATTCAATGACTTTATTTTAAATGATTTTGGCCGAGGCTGGTTAAGAGGGAGAACACTCTAAAGCATAATTTAGAGAACTTCAAGGGGAGGTGCTTCGTGGCCCTCTCAAACTGTAAAATTTTCATATTAAAAAGCTACAACAATCACTTTATTCTCTTCATTCAATAGGTTAGAGATAGACAGAAGCTTGCTATATCATTCAAAACCATACCATATTTCCTCCAGTCCAGTTCAACAGGAACATGACCATATCTACTTTTCTTCTTCTTGATTTTTTCCCGCCGTTCAACGGTATCGTCATCGTACTCTTGATCGTCATAGGCGTCATCGACGTCACGTGATCCGTAACCTCCATCTCCCGGCATGAGTCCTTTGTGATTATCAAATTCTTCATTCGTCAGGTCAGCAAAGTGATTCACAGTTAAATGATACGAGTTGCCTTTCATGTTCATCGAACGAATGTATCTAAAGACAAAGGAGGTCAAACAATTCGTCAGTGTTTTTAGGATAAACAGTTTGCCACAGGTGAAACTTCTACTTGACTCGTTTCAAGGTCGATGAGTATTGATGGTGAATGGTGTAATTTATTAGGATCCAGACCTCTTGCATTTAGGGACTTTAAGTACATGCAGTCGACATTAAAAAAAATGGCGAACACGTGGTTCGTGTTGTGAGCTCCAAATTTTACAAGCGGTTAAACTAGTAAAGCATAACAAGGCCACTTGAGATGATAACTAAATATACATAACATCAGAAAATACAAAACTAGAATTGTTCTCCGAAGGAGCTGAGCTATGTTTCAAATCTTTCTTGCTACGTTTTTGACTTGAAATGTTTCCAATAATTTAGTCTAAAAACTTTTCCATGCCTATATAGGGCAAAACATTGAACCCTCAACAGTATTTCGTTGTTGATCCTACATAAAACGCAATCAAAACAAAACAAAACTTTACATAAATGTAACCTACTGATGAAAGATTACTTATGGATATCGCAGAGTCTTAACTATGTCTTTCGCCATAGCAACGTTTAATATATATTATGAGGGAAGTATGTTAGGCTAATATGATTGGAGACGGTTCATTTTTTATAGCCTGGTTGTATAACGATAAAATTTACCTGATCCCGACATAAAGCTCTGTAATATTCTTATGATTTCCTCTTGTTGGCAGTAAATTTTCTATGGTCCCCCATTTATACTCTGTTGGTAACAACTGATCTCCCCACTGTTCTCCCCTGAAAACCATGTAATTCCCCCAAAAAATATTCCACAGCCCCTCTCCCGTGACCTGCTCCACACCCCCTTCCCCTTGACTTGCCCCTTATTCAAAATGATACCTGAATTATTAAATTCATTCACCTTAAATTGTGTCTAAATATGTGTTTCCTTTGTTGATGCTCAATTTTGTCCTTGTAATCTCTCTTGTGTTTCTTACGAAAATCGTGAAAATCTCTATCCACAGGGTCCTCCTCATGGTGGAGCATGGCGAACTCTCCCATAGGGTTCAGGGACATAGAGGCACCGTCACTGTCACGTGACCTCTTGTCAATGTTCCAGCACCACTTGTCATGGTGCACTAAAATAAACGGTAATAACGCTGTTCAGCTCAGGAAGTAAATGAGCTCTCTGAACTGAATAATCAGTAAAGCTACAATCAACAGAATATGATTTGCAAATGAAACTTGATGAAAAACCACCTTAAACCCCAAAAATTGTCGTTATAACGGAGTGTTTGAGTTAAAAGCATCCTAGGATAACGGAAAGACTAGACATTAATTCCACTTGAGAAAAAAAATCGAAACGGCGAGGTCACGGTCCTATTAAAGACGTCTTTTGGCTGGGTTCCTCTGCATACATGAACGATTACCAATAACGACTGATATACTTGAGGTCTCCCATATTATGATTTAAATCATGTAATGATTTTCAAACCTACTTCAGCACGACGTAGTACATGCAACACTATTACAGGGAGACCAGTTAATATAACTCTGATAAAGGGAATAACATATACATATATATATATATATATATATATATATATACATATATTTAATGTATATGTAGGGGGTTCAATCTCTTAGGTTCACCTTTCAGTCTTACGTATACTAAGAGAAAATTTATGCGGAACAGTCCCCCTTCCCACGTGCCTTTGGTGCCCAAATATCCCCTGCCTTACTTGTCTCAGTCTTGTAATTTTACGCCAATTATTTCATTAAGATTGTGCTTGGAAAAATAATGATGTTGCACGTTTCTATTTCGCTTCTTTTCTGTTCTATCACAGATAGACTGGAAATTGTTCACATTGTAAATAGGTTTGCCTGGTATAATGATTTACCCCAAGGTCAATTTAAGAAATTTGACTAAGGGAAGCGTCTACCTTCGTGTGCGATAAAATCCTCCACTCCCACGCCCCCTCCCCCCCCGCCCCCATCTCCCGTTCCAACGCACTTTTCAAAACGCCACGTCGCCTCTGGTTCCCCCCCCCCCCCCCCCCCCACACAAAAACTGTTATACTTACAATGTGGAATCTCTAAGACATCCGGATCATCATCCGGATCATAATCCCACTCCTCAAAACTGTGATAATGAATCGTATACTTGTCGTAGTACGACACCAACAGAGTATCGTAGCCGTTCATTTCAAAGTACACAGGTTTGGGTGGGTTGGTCTTCGTTGCGTAAAACAAGTACGAGTTGTTGCGTTCAAATACGGTCACGTTGTAACTCCACTTGGTGCATTCTTTTCCATTGATAACAGCATCACCCTCATACTAAAAAGAAAAAAAATATATAAAATTTTCAGAGAAATGCGCGCGCCGTCATTGGTCAGAACGAGTTCATTATATTTCCATAAAGCACGCGCCTTACGTCACACGAGTGCACTGTTGAGATATAGTACACGCAGCCTACGTCATCGGTACGAGCGCGCGCAATTCACGATACCTTTTCTAAAAAAAATAAAGAAACTTGTTCCTCGAGCATTGTTGAGTTATATAAGCACTTGGGAATTTTTAGGAACACTTGAGAAGTACGAGAAGCACTCGCCTTCGGCTCGTGCTTCTCCGCACTTTCTCGTGTTTTTAAAAATTCCCGCTTGCTTGTATAACTCAACACTACACTCGGCGCGTTTTTTATTTCTTTAATAAGAGATGAGATGAGAAGTTGCGCATCAGTATCTGAGAAACTGCGTTCCTACCCTTACCCTGGCTAGAATTAATGTTGGCTGTGGGAAGGGCTACGTGCGCAGGTGCTCAGATACTGACATTGTTCCGAGGTTGTCATGAGAAAATGAGGTAACGTTGTCTGCTAAGGAGAAACAACGGCTTTCATGCTTGCAACATAATACCAAGTGATATTATAAAGCACCACATGACAACGCGTTTTGGTTGTATGAGCCTTAAGTCTTGATCTTATCTGACCATGACCATGGTGCTGGCGCTGAAGACTAAAGACAGGAAACATTCTTGAATGGCAATCCAGGCAAATTGTTAAAGATAACCTTGAAAAAAGACTATTGTGGAAAGAAACCAGCTATTTTTGGGGGGTGCCACATGGTTTTCAGCGGGAACTGATGGGGGTAAGGATCAGTCGTCCCTGGCAGAGTAAAAAGAGGGGGTTTTACAAACTGACCACCAGTGAGAGGGGATTGTAAAAAACGATAAAGCGGGGGGGGGGGGGCAAGTAAATTTTATCGTGACACACAACTGATGAAAATCCTCCCACTCCCCCGGGCGATAAAAAATGACCGGTATCTTAATACTGTATCGTCAAATAAGTAGTTTAAGGATCTTGCCGGGAACCTTAGGCCGGGTTGCAAGATTTCTGAGTCATACAAACGGTTGTGACAAGGAATTAACCAATTACCTTGAAGTCTTCCAGACGAGACTTGAAGGGCCAAGCCGTGTTACACGGCAGAACAGACTGGGCCTTAGCCTTGCGAGACTTGGACCCATACCTCTTCCAACATCCCAGAAAATGGCGATCATTCTTATGACGCTTGTAAGAGTACTTTGGGACGATTTTAAAGAACATTCCATGTCTTCCTAAATCTCCTCTTTGAAACGTTTTCACTTCACCTAGTAACGGTTAAAAAGAAATCTTACCTCCCTTCTCTATGTATTCCAATTGCACGCCCTCACTCCACTTACCATGATTGCACGCGCTCAATGGTTAAGTTATTACTTCAGAAAATTTTCATTTTAGTCACTGAAGTTTAATAGGAATTAAAGCTCCGAATAAACGAAAAAACCGTCCCAAGAGAGAGATCTTTTGCTTAAAAATCTTAGCCACTGCTAGCCCAGTTTTTGTAAATCTCAGATCACATTTTACGAACGCATCAAAGCGCCTAGCAGTGTCTTTTCCCTAAACACGGTACGTTCATGAAGAATTTGGAGGCTCCTCTAACAGCTGAAAAAGAAAAATTTCGAGAAAAGAGATTCAGGGAGAAAACGTCTTACTAACTAAGTTATTAGTCTGTAATGTAAGTTACGGACTGGATTTATGGTCCAAGCGCGGAGCACGCAGGCCATTATACAAGACCGAGCGGAAAAAAACGGGGTTCCATATTTTGCAGCACGAACCGAGAAAACGAGGTTAGTATGATTTATATCACACTAACTTCATCTTCAATAAACTTTTGAATTTAGTTGTCCTTACAATAAATAGGGCCCGTTAAATTGACCAATCATAGCGCACGTGTAAACTGAGAGATATGTAACATAAAACGGGTATATTCACCTTTGATCAAAATATAATTACGGATTTTATGTTTTCCTTTTCTCTCTTGTGTCAGTATTGTGTTAGTATTGACCAAGCTCAGAATTTCTAGCTTCAGTGCGAATTTAACCCTGCATGTGGCTAATTAATGTACTTTTTATATCAGTGCAGGTTTTTTGATTGTATGGTCTCAGTCTCCATTCTTCAAATTACCGGTACCGTTTAGTGAATTATGAGCTAGGAGCATTTTTACACGCTAAGTCTATTTATCTCTTCACTGAAAACTAAACAGCAGACAAGCGCTTCTTTTCAGCCGACTGAGCGCATAATTCAAAACACAAATCTGCGAAAGTCAGTCGTAGAATAACTAGGCAAATCGTTTAAGAGACAAATCAGTTGTCCAAATTATGTAAACCAACAACGCCGTGAACGCCTTAAACATAATTGAGTTTTTCCTCCACCCACTGAATACTAACGTACCAATGAGATGTCTTCTTAAGTAACCCATTAGTCTTTTCAACGAAAGGGAGTTTACTGTTATGATTTCACTCGAAAGAAAAAGTAAAAAACGGAGTCCCTTTGGCGACAGTTTCTCCGCTAGGTAACATATTTGAAAATGGGTAGTTCCTCGACTTCATTTTGCAGTCAACAATCAATATCTACATAAGTGACATATTCAAAGATGGTTAGTTTCTCGACTGTAAACCGCAGTCAACAATCGAATTACTAACTTAATAACTGGTAAAACAACACTTGATCTTTAGATGTTTTGATAAGTTATACCGGTACCGACCCAAATCCCACCGAAAGGTATATACAGTACCTTTAAAAATATAATTACTGTCAGAGCATAATTATAGCTCGAGATCACAAGCACGTCATTGTAACTTGAGTCTCTTTGTCTTACCATGATAGTAATCTATTCGGCTCTTGTCGTAAGCCTGGCTGTGCCAAACCTCAAAAGGCTCGTTAATGTTGCTTGTGGGAAGCGACAAGACACCCGTTGCATGATACTCCGCGGGAAAATGCAAACTTCGTAAATCAGGACCAGGTTTGCCCTCTTGTTCCGATTTGCTACCACCCTGCGTCTCTTTTTCGACAGGTGTACTCCCGATGCATTTCAAGTAACCAACGATCATGAAACAAACCCAAACCGCTCTTCCATAAGGCATATCCCAAACGACGGCCTCTCCTCAACGTTATAATCAAGAGATCGACAGGTCCCACGATGGTCTCTTACAAAACCACCACCCAAGTAAACGTCGAGTATTAAAAGCACAGCTTACACGCTCCATCCAATCATGTCATACGGTATTTCGGAGACACCGTTCGAGCGCGGTATGGGGATGAACGTAAGTTATTTCCAGCCCGTTCGGGAAAAAAACGAGCATGTTTATACGTGATCAAGACTCTGTATTACATCATGGAAAAATAACGGCCCAGTGACTTGAACAGCAACTGTCAAACAATCCCATAAATGGTGAGGGTACCAGTCACCGAATGAATATAGTCTTTTTTAACGGTAGTAGCAGTGAATACTGTAAGATCCCGCAAATTAGGAAATATTTGTGAATTTTAAATTGTACCAAAATTTTAATTAGTTAGATACCGCCATATTAGCACGAAATTTAACTGCACAAATAAGAAAGCTGCCAAAAGACATGGATTATGGATCGATAAATAAAAACATTTATGATTTAAAACGATAGTTCGTTTAATGGCTCAACTCAGCAAAAAATAGGCAAAAATAAAGCGTATGAAGCTAGGAACAAATTATAGTGATCAACAACAGACCTTGGGTATCGCGAAGCGATCGAATGTGACCGTCTGATTAGGATACCGTAACCATGGTTACGATCCTTATGCCTCAATGAATCTTAGCTCGTCGAAGGAAAAAGAACAGGACATTCGAAAATCTGTCAATTTCTTACAAAACAATCTTGTTGTAATAGATGAAATTCCCTTGGTGCAAGGTCCACACTCCCTTACAACTTACTCCAATTCATTTTCTCCAACCTTGCTGAAAAAAATCGTCAGAAGTTTTCCCAGTTTGCACTTAACGTGAATATCACAAGATAAAGTGACATTTGAAACCTATTTGAACCCTGTGATTGGTAAAGAAAACACGCTCTATCCTCTCAACCAATCAGATACAAAATTTAAACCAACCACAACTTGGTCACCCGCGTTTTCCCGTGCTTTAGGCAGTTGGCTTGTTTTTACTTTGAGTTCTCATTAGCTTTTAGAAGTATTTCCCTTCCTTCCAACTGGCTGTTGTGATAACTTGTGATAAAAAGCGCTCCAAGCACAACCGATTTTTACTCATGGGTTCGTGGAAAAGTTGCCCAGTTTTCTCATTACGCACACTTTTAGAATTTATTAAAGGAGGAGTGCGATTCAGAGACCATTTTCACTCAACGATTCTTTCAGAGACAAACAGGAATCCAGAGAATTCTCGTGATTCATTCTGTTGCTTATTTCATATATATTTGTCCCAACTTTAAAAGTTAGAAACAGTATAAGTCGTAGATAACGCTACTTAAGTAAGTAGATATATATATATATCTTATATAAGGAAATTAATGAGAAATTAGAAAATGTCCCTTAATTAAGCCTGCACACAACGAAAATTTTCTCTTAACATTAAAATCACTACTTACACATTGAACCAACCTCCCTTTTCAGTGCACTTTGACCTTTTCCACTCTCGTATTGCTTTTTATATTCTCCACACTGTCCTGTTTACATTTCCTAAGGTGCTGACAAGGAGAATTTAACTGGCAATCAGGAACCTCTGAAATTGGTGACCATTTCATATTTTCTCGTGATCTTTGTATTTGATTCAAGCGTGATAACGTAAGGAGAAATCAGAAGCCAATCACTCACAGGGCTTACTATCACCAAAAAGTAAACACGATAAGCTCAGAGGTGTTCTGTCGTTCATCTGCACAATCATGTATATTTTAATGTCTAAAACTTCAATCTTTTTTGCTATTAACCTGTTAGATGGATTTTTAACACTTCTTGTTCAGTTCAGTGATTCCTTCCTTCTTAAAAACTCAATATAATTTGCTAGCTCGGGGTATAACGCTACAACAACAGGAAAGTGACGGCATCCAGCTTATGGCTTGTGCTGATATGTTTGTTCCATTCATATTCCTAACACCAAGGTAATGAAGCTCTTAGATGCTTCTAGATAAGACATGATTTAATTTTTATCGATTAACAAACCTAACACCATCTTTGTTTGCTGCCTGCTCTAACGCTAAACTGTTTTCTTCTATGACTTCAGAATTGCAAACTAAATCGACTCAACTATGAAGCATAAAACATGAAACGTGAGTCACGTTTTTATGGTAATCTAAGAAATCGAGTGAGTTGGAGTTTAGAAATTATACACCATTTTCCGTTTTCTCTTTTTTTTCTATATACATATATATTAAATCAACTGCACAGCATGTGTTAGATAAATACCATTACTGGCAATTAGATTCAAGACCCAGTTGACCCAGTTGCGTCTGTTTAGAGTGTAACTGACCTTCGTAGTCTGTTTTCATTACTGGTACCAGCTGTTTTTGGTAAATGCTCTCAACAGGTTCATTTGACGATTCGTATCTAACGACAATTGCATTTTAAGCAGAGATAGCGAGAAAATCACTCAACATCCATTCTCACCGGCAGCTTTTTAACTACTGTGTAGGATGACATCACTTCCACCTTCTATAACTTTGACGAAAGAGGTACATAAGTGAGATGTGTAACGGACACTTCATCGCTAATGCTGCAGTATTCTGGATTATATTCACAATCGTCTTATTTTGCAACCGAAACGAAGGACAGCACTACTTTTTCGAAGAAATCAATCAACTGAAAAGCAACTTTGACCCTGATCAGGAAGAAACCGACAAAGACCTCACGGGTGTTTTAGAACCTGTGATCACGTTCGAGAATGCAACTCTACTTCAAGATGACGATCAAGAAGAAAATAAATCACTGCTAGAAAAGATCACGTTTCCCGAGTTCTATCATGCCCAGGGAATCATTTCCCTGCCTTATGACGGGATCATTGAGCCGTTCGAAGCATGGTATGGTGGCCGACATAAAATGAGTCGCATCGACTACTACTACGGTAAGACAGATCAGTATCTTCTACATGACATGCCAACAGGTAATATATTGTCTTATCATTAGGACTGGTCGTGTTTGTTCCTCAGTCAATATTGACAAAAGAAATATGAGACTAACATGCAGACGACATTTACATAGCACGCGAGCTCAACCCTGATTTTTGGATGTCACTGTTGATAGTAATGCATCAGGTTCCTCCCGATGTCCTATTCCGTCCCAGGCGCAATATTTGTTGAGCAATGAGTTTAAGACAATTTGACACGGCAGTTCTGCTGCAAGTTGTAAAAAGCTCGACGCACTTTTGCTTCGTTGAGTCCTAACAAAACAAAAGTTGTGACTAAGCATCTCTATCCGCCATAACATTAGTAAGTAATGCACTGCAAGCCGGTCTAACAGAGCGTATTGACCCAGCACACACCGATGTATTAAACCTTTTTTCTGAGAGTTTAGCCAACCAGTTCTTGCTAACAACATGCGCCTTAAAAATCGAATAAAATCCTCATCGGTAATGTCTTTTCATTCCATAAAGAAAACACCGATTTAAGTTGTGTTTTTGGTTCGTCTCTTTCGCAGCCAGAATGCGTTGTGTCTTGTAGCCTATGTAACGGGCTACGAGAGAGACGTATTTTCAGTTGATGTTTTTGTTATTATTTATGCACTTTTTGTTTATTTTTGGGATTACTCAGACAGTAATACGATACTCCATCTCCTCTTAAACCGTTCTTTCTTGTTCCTTCCTTCTCACTCCATGCTTAAGGGATGGACAAGACATTCCAGAGAGGGGACCTTATGCCGTATGGGGCCCTGGTTAAGTTAGTGCCAGCTCACTGGAAGAAAGGAGATGATCTCGATGAAAACACACAGAGCTGCTGGTACAGGCCCGGATTTCGATGGTCTCCAGAGAAGGGTCAAAATGTTGTCCCGAAGAATTTGAAAAAATTCAAGGTAAATGTTGAAGCGTTCTTGACCCGCATCCCAAATTTGAAGCACACACTGTTCTTTTGACCAATTTTCCAGACCAAAATCGAATGCCGCGTGTTTAACACATTTGGGATAACCAAGAAATCCTTGTCGATATGTCCCATTTATAGCTCAGTTTATATTCCTCCAAACTGGACTTAAAAATTATCTAAGAGTTCCTCTACATAAAAATTAAGCTTTGCCTTGGGAAAACAGTGCACTCCAAGTTATCGTACGTACGCTGTTATTTTTTCTTGACAAATGTAGGTCATATGCTTCATAGCACCTCTCCAGCCTTCCCTCTTTGCGACGTCTTTTAGTGTCTCTTCATCTAAGTTAGATAATTCCCAGTTATGTTTTTTAATGTTTAATTGATACCTCATAACGCCAGCTGTTCCATATAACTCTTCAAACATCTTCTAGGCAGGATTAGGGAACTACAATCTGAAAAAAACAGAGTACCACGATGTTGCCGAGAAGATTTGCATATGCCGCACATAGGCAAATTTAAAGCAATTGGGCGAATAGGTCTTAAAAAAAACTCCCATGGGACGTTAATCGCTCTGCTTTACAACAATAAAATGACATATGCACCAGAAACCAAACTATTCATTTCTTCGCTATTAAAAGTACCTATGAAATTATAACCTGTGACCACTGACGTCGGTGACGCCTGTGAGGTAACAGACTTCAACTCAGAACACGGTTGCCCAAAAATTGTATCGAGAGAAAACTGAACTCACATAGAGAAACCGATAAGCAAAACAGTGACTGCTTGTAAACTGCGCGTATCGGTTCCGGCATCGGGGTTGAATTCTGGGACACCATGTTTGATTGCCCAAGTTACGTCGTCCGTATTTGTTCAATTTCAACAAAAAAAGGGAGCTAAAAGTTGATTTTTTAAAGCACTTTTAATCGAGGAGAGGAGACGAAAATTAATTCCTTTGGAGTATACTTCTCCTATAAACAACAAGAAATAGTGTAGCATAAATCCTTACAGACTTGATACTAAAGTTCCTGCCTAAAAATAGACAAGGACTGCCTCAGGAATAGGACTTGGATGTAAGATCGAATTCCATACCTTTATCGTCTATTGTTTCAGTACGTAGGCGAGGAAATCCACAGTGGAATGCCTGTTTATAAGCTACAACGCACTGCAACTGTGTACAAGAAGAACAACACTTACACACTGTACGTGACAAAAGAAAAACCATACAGACCTGTGCGTTACGTTATGCACGGATATGACACTCTTCTGCACTCATTTTATGATCATTACGTCGTGGATTACCTCTCTTTCCATAAATGGGACTTTGACTTTAATATCATGAAAATCCCAAAAGGTGAGTACGATACACTGCGCATGACACATTTATTGGCTGGGCTACTTCCTATGACCTCATACTCGTCTATACTAACCTTTTACAGCCTATTATCAGTATGCATATTCTTCATACTATTCGCTTTACACTTCCAAAGGTGCTGAGGAGGAGGATTTGTTTAACAACCAAAAGCTTCCTAGGTCGGCGGTCATTTCGTTCTTTCTCATGACCTAAATGAATGATTCAACAGTATTACTGTATGGAGAAAGTAAATGATGGTCACTCTTAGGGAATAAAGGGTTGAGAATTGCAAAGGCAGAAGCAAAGAAATCATAACAATCACGGATTAAATGTAAGACCTCTGAGGAGCTCATTAAAATTCAAAGTAATTCATTTAGCAAAATGGCTAAAACACGAACGATCAAACCGCATTTCACTTGAGTTCTAGATCTGATCGTTTGAGAGGATGGCCCGAGTATCGTAAACCAACAAAAAATCACAATAAACCAAAACCAATGCCACCTATTGCTGTAATGACGTCTTCTGATTCTAAGTAAAATACTACACTGTAATGTAGTTGTAGAATACACGAATCCGGGCAGATCTGATCGAGGTTTTTGCACGCGAACAGGACCTACGTGGTTGTCTCGATAAGGAAGATGAGCCTTTTTCCCGCCCTCTAAAAACTTTCAGCCCACATCATACCTTTTAACACAGCGCCTCCTTCCGTCTATTTTTTGTTTACTTGTTAATATTCTTCCCCACAAAGGAGCCTCTTGCAAAAAGAAGATTCAAAAGATGAAATCAAGATACCACTTCAACCCCATGGCAGAGTTTATGCATGAAAACTTTGAAGATGGGGAGGTGGAACAAATGTTTGAAGAATTTAAGAGAACACACAAGAAATCCTACGACGATCCTACAGAACATGAACAGAGGAAACACATCTTTCGACATAACATGAGGTCAGTTTACAATTTTCTTTCACTCACCTGCACGTTACAAACGTAACAATCTGATCAACTACAATCCAAAGATGCGCGAGATACAAACGAAACAATCTGATCAACTATAATCTTAACATGCGCGAGATATAAACGCAACAAACTGATCAACCACAATCTACAGATTCAAGAGATAAACGTAACAGCCTGATCACTGACAATCAAAAGAAAGATGTGTGAGATACAAACGTCAGAGTCTAATGAACAACAATCTAAACGTGTACGAGATAACAATTTGGTTATCTAAAGATGCGCGAGATACAAACGTAACAATCTGATCAACAAAAATCTATAGATACGCGAGATCAAAACGAAACAATCTTATCCTATCAACCTACACGAGATACAAACGGAACAATCTGATCAACAAAAATCTACAGATACGCGAGATCAAAACGAAACAATCTTATCCTATCAACCTACACGAGATACAAATGGGACAATCTGATCAACAAAAATCTAAACATGCGCGAGATAAAAACGTAACAATCAGTTAATCTAAGGATGCGCGAGATACAAACGTAACAATCTGATCAACAAAAATCTACAGATACGCGAGATCAAAACGAAACAATCTTATCCTATCAACCTACACGAGATACAAATGGGACAATCTGATCAACAAAAATCTAAACATGCGCGAGATAAAAACGTAACAATCAGTTAATCTAAGGATGCGCGAGATACAAACGTAACAATCTCATCAACAAAAATCTACAGATACGCGAGATCAAAACGAAACAATCTTATCCTATCAACCTACACGAGATACAAATGGGACAATCTGATCAACAAAAATCTAAACATGCGCGAGATAAAAACGTAACAATCAGTTAATCTAAGGATGCGCGAGATACAAACGTAACAATCTCATCAACAAAATTGAACAACCTACAGATGCGCGAGATAAAAACGTTACAACGTGATTAACAATCATCTAAAGATGTACAAGATACAAACGTAACAATCTGATCAACAACAATCAAGAGATATGAGGGATACTAACGTAACAGGTTGATCAAAGACAATCTGATCAACAAAAATCAAAAGATGCGTGAGATACAAACGTCACAATGTGATCAACAACAATCCAAAAATGTGCAAGATACAAACGTAACAATCTGATCAACAAAAATCCACAGATACGCGAGATAAAGACGAAACAATCTTATCCTCTCAACCTACACGAAATACAAACGGAACAATCTCATCAACAACAATCTAAAGATGCGCGAGATTCAAACGTAACAATCTGATTATCTAAGGATGCGCGAGAAAAAAGCGTTACAGTTTGATCAACAACCATCTAAAGATGCACAAGATACAAACGTAACAATCTGATCAACAAAGATATGCGAGATACCAACGTAACAGGTTGATCAACTACAATCTCAAGATGCACAAGATGCTAACGTGAAAATCTGATCAACAACGATCTAAACGCGCGCGAGATACAAACGTAACCTGATCAACTACAATCTTAAAGATGCACAAGATAATAACTCAACAATTTGATCAACTACAATAAAAATATGTATGTAATACTAACGTAACAGGCTGATTAATGACAATCTAAAAATGCGCAAGATACAAACGTAACAATCTGATCAACAACAATCTAAAGATGCGCGAGATACAAACGTAACAATCTGATCGTCTAAACATGCGCGAGATACAAACGTAACAATCTCATCAACAAAATTCTAAAAATGCACGAGATACAAACGTAAAGCCGGCAACACACTTAACAGTCTGATCAAAAACGACCTTACGATGCACGAGATACTAAGGTAACAATCTTGCCAACTACAATCTTAAGATGCGCGAGATACAAACGTAACAGTTTGATCAACAACCATCTAAAGATGCACGAGATCCTAAGGTAACAATCTCATCAACTACAATCTAGAGATTGATACGAAGACTGGAGATGCACCGGATGCTATTGCCGACAAGTTTGATTTAAGTTTATCATGCATGATTACTCCGTGATGTTGTTTACTTTATTTCCATCGTTAAATTATCATAGATAGGTGAATATAAAAGTTTGGCAACATGTTTAACGTTTGTCTTGCGACACAGAGAAAGTGTGATCGTCCCAAGTTTCAAACCGTACCATGCTCTACTAACTGAGCAAAAAAGACCATAAGCTGTCGGCCACAAGTTACATCTCGTGTGAGAAGCCTTTTGCACCAGATACTTTAACGCTTTGACTCCTTAAGAGTGATTAGCATCTAATTTCTCATTACATTATCATCCCTGAATCAAACATTTAGGTCACAAGAATAAGAGAAATGACCAGTAACTAAAGAAGCCCTTGATTGTTAAACAAATTCTCCTTGTCAGCACCTTATAGGTCTGTAGAGAACAGCGTGGAGAATATGCATTCTGATGTTACGGTTAAAAAGTAGAATGTGGACAGCCTCCTTTTTTTTTTAACTAGGTTACTTTAATTTTTGTGTCTTGTGTTGAAATAAGGAAACAAAAACATGCCCTTTTCCTTTACTTTATATCTCAGGTTTATAAGCTCAAAGAACAGAGCCGCTTTGAACTTCACGTTGGCGCCGAATGAACTAAGCGACGTCACAGACGACGAATTTGAAATGTACAAAGGTCTGTTAATTGATCCTGGCGGGGGTGATGACGAGGTACTAAAGAAACAGGAGATACCAGAGGCAAGATTTAACACTCCCGATACACCACTACCCAAGTGTCTCGACTGGCGTGAATACGGTATGTCTTTTTCGTTCAAACCCTGCCAATGTTTAGGTAGTGTAATTTTCAGTTAAATGTCAAAAGTAATGTGGTATATTGTATTGGTCTTGTATCACTGTAACTGATCTGTGGTTGGTCATATTGAGTCAGTGAGTGATCAAAGTCAGCGGCTGCCTTAGAGGAAAGGTCTGCGAATTCTGTAAACTCTTCCCCACTATCCTCCCTATCAGACATACATGTGAGTTTTTCTTATTTCTTGTCAGACTCCAAATTATGACAATGAAAGGACTGTAAATTACAACCCGGAGTCCATTTAGGGCTCTCATCAACCTTAAGATATTTTTTCAGGTGCAGTGACCCCTGCCAAAGCACAAGGCCTGTGTGGTTCATGTTGGACTTTTTCTTCCACTGGACCAATAGAGGGAGCTTATGCAATCCAGGTGAATTTGTAACTTTCTATACACACAGATTAACACCACAACAATTAAAAATATATAACACATTTGTGAGATTGAGATTATCATATCCTTATGTACTGGTAAGCAAGAAAGTCCACAAAAATATCAAAACAATTAAAAATATTCACCAAACTGGAGGTTAACGAAGGTTACCATGGATATTTACCAGCAAGGTAAAATTAATGTCCACCACTTTCACTGACACTAAGGTGAATAATTGTTTTATTACGTTGTTACGGTATAATCTAACCGAAAGAGAAACACTACAATCCCACAAACTCAACTACTTTATTAAACAGTGAGTAATGTTCTTGACAAGGAGCAACTTTTAAAAGCAGTATAGTACTTATTGTTAATTTACTTAATTAAGCCCACCACAGTCTATATTGTAGCTCACCACTGACATAATCTCATTGCTGTCTCCAAATAAGCAATCTTCCACTGACAGTAACTCTCTCTCGGTATAGCTTTCAAAACAATTGTCACTCCAACAACAACAACTACAACTACTACATAAGTGAATCTTTATGTATATTCAAAAAGTGTTCTGGAACATTCCAGAAGCTTACATGAGAACTATTTTCTTTAGTAGTTTTACATTATAAATGCATAACTTCATGAAATGTTCTGCAATGTTCTATGGTATGCAAGTCAGCATGACAAGGCAGTATGAAGATTTCTAAAAGCTTATATTTACAACAATTACTCATGACAACAAAAAAAATTGGACACTATATTTTATAACCTAATTGACTGAACTATCTAAAAACAACCTGTTGACTAGCTATTTCCTAACTAGGTCTCTTGTGTAATCACTGAGTCTTAATTCCTATCTCAAAGCTATCTTATCACTATCCAATAACTGGTCATTTGGAACCATGCAGATAGTTCTGTCTAAATTCTATCTGAAAAATAAGTTTGTGAAATAACTATCACAGTAAGTATTTAGATAGGTATTAGATAAGGTTAAACTAGTGTTTGATGCTCTAATAAGTGAGTTTTCAGCTAGATATAAAATAGAGATTAGGTAGTTGCAACAACAGTAGTTAGATATAAGACAGAGATAAACTAGAAATAAGACAACATAGACCAAAATAATAAAAAAACTATTCTCTGATAGGTAGCAATTCACTAGAATCAAAAAAGCATGAAGCTAGAGATCAGATAGTTAAAAACTGGCCAAGAATCAGGTAGGATTATCAGTTAGTAGGAAGATAGTGTAAAACTAGGAATGAGACAGATGAAAAGTAGCAGTGAGATAAAACAAACTGTAATATGGAGATAGCTGGTTGATATGGAACTTAAGCCTTATGCCATGCTGATAACACCTAATAAGGTTAAAACAGCTGTCCATGCATGGCTGCCAATGCTCGGTAGTTTTAAGGGGTTATGCCTGCCATTACTTTGTCCTTCATGAGGCTTGCAGCTTAATAACCTAATAGTCACTTTAAATGTGAGATATTTGCATCATACACAGCCACATCCCAGAAGTATCACAAATTTAAACTGCACAATAGCTAGTTGTTCGTTTAAAACTAAAAAAAAAAAAAAGCTAGTTGTTCAAGTTTTTCAAATACATCAAGTCTGCAATGATTGTAATTAGAGGGCAAAGAGTGATTTTGACATTGCAAATACATGTGTCATTGATTATTTGGAATGTTATTTATAAGTGGTGTCACTCAGCTGCTAGATTTTGCACCACAAGATCAGTCCGCATGGCAGCCCTTCTCTTCAGCCTTTTCTCCTTTGCCTTTGCTCTGTAGCAAGGAAATAAAATACGCACAAATCACTTTGTGACATTAACTAATATTGTCAGTTTTTCCTCAAAATTCATTTTAAAAAATTGGTTTAATTTAACCAATCACTTTGAACCAGCACAGCATATACATATGTTCTATTATTGCTCCAAACCAATGGAAGAGCATGTGTAGTGCAGTACATGCATTTATTAATTAGAATTAAACTCCTCAAAAACCAGGGTACTGTCAGTTGTTATGCAGATAGGCTTCATTGCCCTAAGTAAGAATTGCAGACTACATATAATTAGGGAGAGTCAGAGAGAGAGAGAGAGAGAGAGAGAGAGAGAAAGAGAAAGAGAGATGTAATATTGCAACACTTGACTTACCATCTTCCTGAATCAAATTATTCAGCTTGCTCCTCAAGGACTGCAATATTAAAGCCTTGTCTTTAGGTGCCTTTTTTTTGGGCTGATCACCTGTGGACCCTGACTCCTTCAGTTTTACTTGCAGCAGCTTTGTGACCACAGCAAGTTCTAAATTAAATTCCATATGTCAAGTGTGAAAACAAGTACAATCATGACAACTAAAAGGTCCAAGGAAAATTAGGAATAGAGCTCACTAAGTACATACAGTTCTTTTATCAGTGCAGTGATAAAATTATCCTAAACATAACTGACTTGACCAAGTTCCCAGTTTAAATCACCAGACCTGACCCTTCTTAAATGGTACTGGCAGCTAGTATATTGATGCAACATCACTGATTTGCTGGTATTCAATTGGAAAACATCCTAGTAATTATGCAACTGTGGCTCCCTCATTAAAAGGGATACTAACTGATAAAGGCTTCCTTTAATAATTGCAATAATTATCTGGAGGTTTTAATGGCTTATTATAAATACCATTTTTAGTAGAACAAATATATATATATTAAATACCAACCTGTAATAGCATGCACAATATCTTGGTCCAGTTTATGAAGCCTTTTGCCCTCTAGCTCCTCTGTCTTGTATAAAAACATGAGTACCATCCTTGCAAAGGCTGTTTTTGCTTTGGCATCTTTTTGTGCTGCACGCACCCTGATAGGATCAATCCACACTCCATTGCCTATTTCTTCCAACTGTGAATGAAAAAATAATTCTTACATATTTAATATGACTAGGGGATGCAAATGAAGAATAAAAATCTGATCAAAAACACCACATATGCACATTGACTAAGTATTACAATAAAAAAAGCAACATTGGAGCAGGCCAAAGGGGAGGGTGTTTCCTAATATTTGCCTTTAGTTTTGTCAGTTGCCATTATTAGCCCTTTACACCTTAATTTCATTATGCATATTCTCCATACTGTTCTTTATACATTTCCTAAGGTGCTGACAAGGAGAATTTGTTTACTGATCAAAAGCTTCTTTTGTTGGTAATCATTTTCTTCATTCTTGTGACCTTAATGTGTGATTCAGGGGTGATATTGAAAGGAGAAATTAGATCTTAGTCACTCTTAGAGTTAAAAGGGTTAATGGCTGTAAGTTAGAGGCATATCTTTATAAATTGTTTAACTTCCTGTTAAGTGCCTCCTGTCTGGGTACTTTCCCATACCTCAGGATATCCTTATCCTGATTATATGCCTCTCCTGGATTTGGAGTTAATTCTTTTGCCATAATTTTGTCAAATTAAAAAAAACATATTACACAAAGTTAATATTAGAGATTTTCTTAGAATCAGGTGTCATCTTAACAGCAAATAATATCTGTCAATTAATAGGACTCTTGATTTATTTTGATGCATCAATGTCCCAACACATCAGTAGATAAAGATTACTTGGATATAGTGCTAATGCAGATCTTCACAACTGCTCTTCCTGAACACTTTTTTTTTTAATGCTTGTAAGCCCTGGATATAAGTTCTCCTGTTGTTAAACCTATACTCAAACCTGTCACGGATTTATATACATGAAAGGCTTATAAGCAAGATTTTGTGGTATATTATATATAATTATATATCTGTTAGTTCAACTAACCAGCATCTGCATATTCTGCTGATTTTTCCTTGAGGGACTCTTCTTCATCCCTTAGTCTTTGCTTTTCCTCTCTGTAGAGCATGTTGTGACAGCGACTACCACACAGAAATAAGAAAATAGTTTATTTCTGTCAATTCAGATGGTCAGAAATTAAATCGTTGATGCATGATTTTGTCTTTTCGCCTGCTCGGGAGTGAATAGTACTTGCGAATCACTTCCGAACCAACCAATTAGAGTGCATGAAAAGCACTATTCCCCTGTGTGGTGTATATCAATATGACGTACTCTAAAAAAACGGATTCTAGTTAAGACCAATCAAAGAAAAAATTGGGGTACTTCTTGAGGTATATTCACCTCTCTGGGTACTCCACAAAATAAGCACAGTCAACTCTTATCATAATAACTATTACTAATTTTTCTGAAGGAGCAGGAACAGTGTCTTAAAGCATTCAATTTAGCAAAGTTGTAATGCAGAAATGAAAAATAACAAAAACGATGCACATACCTTACTCTCTTCCTAGCCTGGGTTCGTCTTGTTTAGCGAGTGTAACCTGGGGAGAGCTTGGTGACCGAAAGAAACCAAAACGAGGCTATTAATAGTGGGGACCTTTCAAATTTATATAAGTACTTACGTCGTGAAAATGTTGATACGATCCTCCAGGCACGTTTTAAGTCTTGTAGCTAAGAAAAAAATTCTTGTTACCGATAGACCGGAAAACTTATGGACGTGTCAGAACAGCAGCTGATGGACTGTAGCTGGGGGTTTGGTAACAGTGGCTGTCGAGGAGGTTACTCATGGAAAGCTCTCGTCTGGGCCAAGAGGCACGGGGTTGCCTCTAGTAGCAGCTATGGCAGGTACCTTGCTCAGGTCAGTATACTGATTTTTTATGCTTTGAATCCAGAAAACTCACCTGGAAGAGACGACAAGTTAAACTAGAAACCATGACGCTCTTTTAACACCCACATGTTATCTAAAGAGACTATTGCGGTTATATGTTACATTAACGTAAGGGCGAGCACGCCTTTTACTTAAGGACAGGTGAAATTTTTGTATAATCAGAAGAAGTACTTGCCTGATTAATTATGATTTATTAATTGAATACTGACATTATGACATTCTAAGCTGTTCTGTTCCTCTCCGACCAACCGATAATGATGGCAAATGCTACGAGGCCTAACTAAAAGCATATTAGTAAAATTTCCAATTGAACTAATCTGGGATTACATTGGTTTTGCTTTACTTCAATTTTTGATATGATTAGAAAACTCACGCCATCCTCTCAATCAATCAAATCCAAAACTGAAACCAATCACGAGTTGGTCGCCTGCGTCTTCCCGCGCTTTAGTTAGTTGGTTGTTTTTACTCTAAGTTCTCTTTGGATCTTAAAAGTTATGCTCAGGCTTCTGATCGGCCGTTGTTATTACTTTGGTTTTGGTTTTATGACACTCAATCGAAGAGCGCCCTATCTGTTTATAGTCTGACAATATGCCTCCATGTGATACACACAGGAGGGATTCTGCCATTGTGCCAAAGAAGACGGTTGTGATGTGGTGAAATTCAAGCGAGTGGTGACTGTGAAGAAAAAAGACGCAGAGGCGTTGAAACATGGCCTAGCCAAGTTTGGTCCGGCGTCCATCGCTATCAGCGCCAGTCGAAAAACTTTGAAGTTTTACAACTCTGGCATTTATGATGATGAGGATTGCAGTGAGTAACACTCCACTAGTATATACACTAATTTTCAAAATAATCAGCCCTCCTGGAGAGGTTTTCTAATAGTTGTTATCGTCGTTAATCTTTAGTACGCAAGAGCATATTATTTCAAACGGGATGCTGGGATTTTAGAAAAACCTAAATGACCCTATAAGAACTATTTTCTCCACAAGCGGTATCATGTACCTATGGAAAAGAAGAACGGCTCGTAACAGATCCCAAGGATTTAATTCTTTTTTTTTTAATTTGAGTCGGTTATTACGACTGAAAAAATAGAACAAACTTTTTGATAATGGATGGTACACAAGAGCTTAGGGTCGAGAGGGGGAAGTTTTGGGTGCACATGATCTCCTTTTTCAAATTTTTAAGGAAAAGGAATGATTTCAAAAGATAAAAGCGACCCCTCTCCTCCCTTCCATATACAAACAAGGCACTACTATGGAACCTCCCTACTAGACAAGTATTGATACTTTTGAAGCTCACCTGTTATCGGTTATGAATTTTTTTCCAAACTTTGGTTTTCTTTTTCTCTAAGGCACTCAAACAAATCATGGTGTTGTAGTAGTTGGTTACGGTGAAGAAAATGGTACCCCTTACTGGATAGTGAAGAATTCGTGGGGAAAATTTTGGGGCGAAGAGGGATTTGTTAAGATTGCTATGAAAGACAACTTATGCGGTGTCCTTACCAACGAACCTATATTTGTAACCATGAACGAAACCCTTGATGACGCGGGTGAATCTTATCCATTCATGAGGATGAAAAAACAGAGTTTTGTGGATGTGGAAAAAAAACTCAACGTAACTGCTTTAAAACTTTCGCCATTTGATTACAAGAGATCAAGAATACGATTTGAGGAACTTGCTAAGGAGCCAGATAAAAGGACATTCTCTTAAATTGACGATGAATGTTTTTAAAACCGGCCACAGCCGATCATGAGATTATTAACTGTTTATAATCTCTTGAGCCGATTTAGTTAAGTTTTCAATTCATTGTTCTTATTGGTCACTGTTTGGGGAACTGGAAGAAATACGAGGTAGCATGTTTTGGAGGTTTCGTCCCATTGCAAGTTCGCCACCTACTACCTTTACAACTTCGCCCCAACCTTTACCAGTTCGCCTTTTCTGCCGAAACCAAAGGTGAGGGTTGGGGCGAACTTGTCTTCCTTGGGCGTGTGTTCTTTGCTTTCATCAACGCCTTTTTTATGCCAAACGAGAGAATTGCAGTCATCAATATAACGAGGCTAACTGTTTCTTTGTAAACCAAACCTAATAAATTTTATTTTTGCCTATTTACAGTAACATGACTTTGTGAAAGTTAGAAGAAAACTTTAGTGCAGCCTAAGGAAAAACTAACCGCACCTAAGTTATTTCTAAGAATTTCTTCGCTAATCAGAACAAACAGCCGGTACTTAGCGCTGACTCGGCAGAACCACACGGGAGGTATGACGACATCGAGACGCTTTTCGTCATCCTTGCATCCCTGAGAAGGGTCGTCAACTATTTTTCTAGAGGGAAACCATATGCTCCAGCTTAGATCCTTCTATCCTCACGATGCCAAACTTGATTTTTAAAGGCTTGATCAATTCCTCGTATCTACCAGTTGGTTGTGGATGAAAAGTACTTTAATACTCTGGGTCTCCACACTTTGATGTAAGACTTTCCATGTTGCTTAGAATGGAATAATGCTCAATTCCTCTTCGGAATAAAACGTTATGCTCTGTCTAGGAACCTTGTTTAGTGTTTTCAGCGGAAACTCGGCGATCGACGAATCTTTTTTGATGGCCAACAAAGGTCCATTCGTCAATCCACATCTGTCATGATTCATGGCAATCTTGATGTAACCGTCATCACCCCAGAGGTGTCCCCAAGAATTTTTAATGATCCAATACGGAACGTTGTCGTCGGCACCATAGCCCACTGTTAATACAGCATGATTCGTCTTCTTTCCTATCGAAAAAAGAGGAATATGTAAGAGAACCTTTGATGTGTTCATTACACTTCCCTTCCGACACTTAGGTTTCGAGAAATGATTATCAATTCTGAAAGAGCAGTTTGAATTAATAAGATTTTGTGACACGGGCAGCGTTGACCAAATACTGAACAGACAAGTGAATCAAAGCACTGGCAATCTCGTTCTCAGTGTTCACACTCCCCTAATACCGTGCGGGCGGGAAACAAGCACCGCAAGGGATTAGGGGAGCATGACCTCTGGGAACAAGATTGGAACATCGGTGTAACCATCGAGTGCCAATCATGCGCAAAACTGATCTGATTAGACAGATCCTTTTGACGCCAAATCTGCTCAGAATGATTCCTATAGTCTTCAAGGAAATCAATTTCCTCTAAGGAAAATATCACCAGGTCCTCTAAACAGTATTTCGAGCAGCATGTGACCTTTTGAAAGATGTGACCCTGTTCAATCCTTTTCGCTTTTAAAATTAGCTTCCTGCGAAAGGAACTGCAACCGACGCGCAACGATTTTTCATGATGTTATTCATGAGATACCTCGCAAAATAACGTCCGGGTTTCTCAACCATTAGTTTGATAAAATACAATTGAAATCAATACAATTCCGCTTATCTTATTCATTTGTAAGAGATCTAATTTATATCATCATCAAATTCAAGCTGAGAAAGCAGTTGCCATAGAATCGTTGCATAAAAAACGAAAAGATCATGTCAATTGGAAGCTACAACAATTGGATTTTATAACTCACCACATTTTGGATCATCGTAAATTCCGTGGCTGTAAAACCTAAAAGTCTTTTGGTCGGAGTTCATCGAGGACACAATGGGACCATGAGTGACCAAGGCGACCTTCAGAGCGTCAGAATTGTTTTTCTTTACTTTAGAAAACCCGCTGATGTGAGTGAAGGTACAGTTATCTGATTTACCGCAATGACAGAAGCCTTCCTGCGAGGAATGTAAAAACTAATAAGGGGATAGAACTGAGAAGACTGCACCCGATTCAAATGTTCTCCCCGATCGAATACCGCTTCTTCAGGCAATAAGGGACTGGAGGTATTGCTAAACTTAAACAGGATCCTTACCCCGCGCAAGTTTCCGCGCAGTTTGATCGGGCTCGCACATCAGTTCGCTCTTATACTCAAGGGGAGAGAGAGGAAACGGTAAGAGTAACGTGTCGTACACATGAAAACTCAATGACCCAGTCTTAATTCGAACTGGAACTCAATGCAGAATCAAGCCTTTCCGTCTCCTTTTATCCAAAACGAGAGAAACTTAAAATCAAGGTTTCGCTTATGCTGAAAGCCAGCTCACCTGTGCAAGGTAAGGACCATAATCTCTCCTGGAAGCCACTCCATTACGTTTCACCCATCTCAGAGTCCTGTCCTGGAATCCTCCACGACATCCGTGATTCCCTGCGGGCCACGAGCAGTCAATCAACTGCTGGTTTGAGAGTTCGAGGAGCTCTCCAGTCTGGTCAAAGAAGAAGAGAAAAGAAACTGAAATGAAACAAAACCATCATGTGTATATGACACAGTTTCAGCAGTTTTAACAACCGTGCATGGTTGAAGTTGTACTTGACAATCGTTAAACGCGGTAAGTTACACGTTGAATGTGTCAGTCGTCTGCTCAACTAATTTTGCGCTAAGCTTGTGTCGGGGTAAAATTGTTCGCTTAGTCTTTTAGCAATAAAACTGCTACCTTGTAGTTAAAGAGAGACTGAATGGATACTATGTATTAAAGTTCACACGGCAACCAGGTGGACAATCAGACATAGTTTGAAGCTACACTGGTTTGCAGATTTAATGAATGTAACCGAAGAAGTTACAATTCATAGACCCAACGTTTTGACACTCCTGTCTAGTGCCTTCATCAGGGGTGATCTAAACGCTGCAACAAGAGGTCCTTTTTTATGATCACTAATTAGCGGCCTTTTTTCTGACGAGGTGTAAATAGGCGTCAGGAAGCAGACCGCCATCGTCACGATTTAAAGGAGCGTGGGCGAGTTAATGTGCCATCCTCCAAACAAAGGCGCTGGTGGTAACGCCGATTAGTAGTGATAATTTTAGAATTATCACACCCAATTGTATGGTTGGTTAGGCAAGTATGCTCCGATAAAGCTGAATTTTCCTTTTTGCAAAGAAAAACCGCTTTTTGGTGCTCTTTTAACAGTGTACCAAACTGGCGTTTGGTCTGTCCGATGTATTCGTTATCACAGTCATTGCAAGGAATAGAATAAATGGCGTCGGTTCGTTGTTCTTTCGTGACAGGATCCTTAGGTTTGGCGAAAATATGCCCCAAAGTCTGAAAAGGTTTTTGAGCAACTTTAACGTTGTGGCTATTCAAAATTCTCTTGATGGGTTCAGTAACACCCTGTATGTAAGGAATAACAGCAAAACCAGTCGCTGGTTCCCTTTCATCAAGAGCGTTACTATTTGTAACTGGTTTTTGGCAGTTACGGAGAAAAGTTTTTGTATAGCCATTTGCCTTTAGGACATTGGAAACATATTTCCTCTCCTCAGCCTTCGAATCGAGTGATGATGGTAGACAATCAGCCCTCCTAAGTAAAGTTTTGGCTACAGACTTTTTATGGCAAATAGGATGGTGAGAATCGAAAGCGAGGTATTTGTCGGTGTGGGTGGGTTTACGATAGACACTTGTCTCTAAATTACCCTGAACCCCTCTAGACACATTTAAATCAAGAAAGGGCAAATGTCTATCCTTTTCACGTTCAAGGGTGAATTGGATCGACGGCTCTACTGAATTCAAATGCGACAAGAGGCGCTCCGCTTCATTTCCGGATACCGCAGAAACAACATCATCGACATATCGTTTCCAGAAAAAGGGTTTAACCGGTGAAGTGGCTAAGGCCCTTTGTTCCACGTCTTCCATTACCATGTTAGCAATGACAGCAGAAACAGGCGAACCCATAGCTGTACCAAAAACTTGTTGATAGTATGTGCCGTTATATGTAAATTGCGTGGTTTTGAGGCAAAAAGACAGCAGATGAATAATATCCTCCACAGTTAGAGTCTGAGTCTCTACTCCGCAACCTTAACGGCAAGATCAACTGGGATTTTAGTGAAGAGCGAAACAACGTCGAAAGATACTAATTCTTCACAAGCGTCAAGAGTTTTATCTCTTATGAAATCCGTAAATTCGCAGGAATTTTTGACAGTGTAATATAAGATAACCAGAAATGTAAGATAACCAGAAATTGCATAAGTCGGAGAATTAACAAAAGAGACAATGGGTCTCAAAGGAATTCCCGGTTTATGAATTTTAGGTAAGCCATAAAAACGTGGACATAAGCCGTCACTACTGTATAACATTTTGTACGTAGAGTCACTAATTCTGCCAGCTTTTTTCAAATCAAGCAACATTTTGTTTAACTTTCTTTGAGTTTTACTGGTTGGATCAGAGTTTAAGACAGCATACGTACTCTTGTCATGAATGGATACTCTTAGCAGCCAATCAAGACAATCAAGGCAACGACAGATATTGGGAAAGGACTTGGACACCACACAATCAGCAAGTTGAGAAGAGTCAGAGCATTTCCAGATTACTTCCAGAACTCAATTGAAAATCGTTTGATGAATTCTCATATCTACAAAGCAAAAATTGCATTTAAAAAATGGAACACCGGAAGGATCGTCATGTGCTACCTTCAAAAAATGAGCTCCTTCCACTGCTCCAAGAGCAGAAAATGTCCAGCATGATCCACACAAACCTTGACTATGAACACGAGTCACAGCACCTGATGTACAAAGAACGGAGAGAAAAGTAAGAAATATCCATATGCATTGCCTGAAGTCCCCCCCCCCTCCCCCCCACCACTTACAGTACTAGTCTGAACATTACCTCCCCCCCTCAACCCCTTAAACAATCGAAAAAGGTAACAGATGATTAGAAATAATTTCCCCGTGGCATAGCTAAATGAATGTCAACAAGTTTGGCCTCATCAAGCTAAGTAGCCGCATAGTACACTCTTCGAGTGCATTCCATTAAACCAAACATAAGGCAATCACAAGGGCCAGTCAGAGCAAAGTTACATATCACAAAGGAGCAATGGGAGTCCAAGAGTAAACATAAGTTTGCGGCCTCAGACAATTGACCGAGTCGCGATTGGTTTTTTAGTCTTAGCTTGCATCTGATAGTTGAGAGGGTATCGAAAGTTTTCCATACCGATTAACAGAAAGAGGAAAATCAAACCCAATGCAATCTGATGCAATCTCGTACTGGCTG